ACACACACAAGCAAAGGGAAACGTACACACAAGCACACACACACGAGCAAACGGAAACGTACACACAAGCACACACACACACATACACACACACACACGAGCAAACATAAACGTATATATACACAAGCACACTCGAACGCACATACAAGAACACACACGCATTCACTCAAACATACACACACCAACATATACATACAAAAATACACACATAAACATAATATTAATATACATACAAAAATACACACACAAACAAAATATTAATACATACAGAAATACACGCACAAACATTCACATAAGCTTACACGGACACAAACGTACATCGGAAAAACATAACACACAAACATGCACAGACAAACATACACACAAGTACACACAAACACACACACTCAGACACACATACACACACACAGACACACACATACACACACAGACACACACACACACAGACACATACACACACACTCAGTCACACATACACATACACACACACTCACTCACACATACACACACACACACACACACACACACACACACACACACACACACCGGCATAAGCGCACATAAAATAACCACCACATCTTAAATCTTTGACACACCCCCTCTCCAGTCTCCACACTCACTACTCAAAGCTCAAGCCTCGTGAAGTTTGCTCTCATTTCTCCCCACAGAATTCTACACTAGCTGTGTTTCTCCCACAACAAAACCACAGATTCGGCTCGCAGTATCTATCCGGAGACGTCTCCGACGGATAGAGACCAATCAAAATGCTTTGTGCCTCTAAACCAAGTAAAACATTCTGGGGGGTTACAGACATGCCCCCCTGTTTTTAACCCATAATTCGATATTTTTCCGTTAAGTTTGAAATTTTCTTGAAAATATTTGATTTGCGACATTTTTAGTGGCTATATGCGTGATCTGAAGCAAATAATACGCAGTTTGCCCCCCCCCCAAAAAAAAAATCCAACAAAGCAAAACCCCAGTGCATCATTCTGTGTGCGGGAGTGCGTCTCCGAATGGTTCCTGTGTGCTCGCCGGAGACGTCTCCGAATATCTTCTGCCGCTATCTATAGCCTCTCTCCTCTGGAAGATGTACAACTTGGAGGACCCAAAGTGACGTCTATACTCATTTCTTCTTCAGTTCAACAAAACCACAGAAGCGGCTATCTATAATGTAGCCTCTCTCCTCTGGAAGATGTACAACTTGGAGGACCCGAAGTGTCGATCGATGAACGACAGTTGGCGGGAACAACGTGATATTGCCTGATACTGTGCTAATGGGGGCGGGGAGAGGGGAGTAGGGGGGAGGGA